CCACTACCAACTACCACTACCACTACCACTACCCACTCCACTTACCACTACCACTACCACTCCCACTACCACTACCACTACCACTACCACTTACCCACTACCACTACACTACCACTACCACTACCACTACCACTACCACTACCACTACCACTACCACTACCACTACCACTACCACTACCCACTACCACTACCACTACCACTTACCACTACCATACCACTACCACTACCACTACCACTACCACTACCACTACACTACCACTACCACTACCTACCACGACCACTACACTACCACTACCAACTACCACTACCACTACCAACTACCACTTACTACTACTACTACTACTACTACTACTAATAATAATAATAATAATAATAATAATAATAATAATAATGTCAACACAAGCCCATAGACATATATCATTAACAAATTGGAATGGGATCACATCCAAAAAATAGAACTTACTCGATTTAGACACATATAACATAGACATTGTGTGCATAACAGAGATGCACCTAAACAATAGTAATAAGTTTTATATGACAGATTACAAAATTTATAGAAATGGCTGGACCGAACAAAAAGGAGGTGGAGTACTTATAGCATTCAGGAATAATATGATCCATCATGAAATTAATATACCAAACATCACAGGAATTGAAACAGTAGTAATAACCCTAACAATGAACAATGAATCATGGAATATAATAACTGCTTATAAACATCCATCAATAAATATACAACCAAAAATAATCTTAATCTACTCACCCCAAACAAAAAGAATATTAATACTAGGTGGTACACTTGCAATCAAGTTGAAAAAATACTATCACAAATTATAAACAATACTACAATCAATATACTATTGCCTCCTGAACCAACATACTATCCAAGAGACGTAACTAAGCAACCAGATATCCTTGACATCGGACTGACGGCAATATCAATTTTTACTCAACTCCGTATCACGAACTCGATTCTGACAATCTTCCGGTAAATATACTAACGCGACAAATCCCACCCCCGCAGTCCCCAATCCCCAAAACCAACACACTTAAATTAAACTGGATGAAATCCCAAAATATAACCAGCAATTTTATACCAAAAATAAAAATTTTAAATAATTCTATAGAAAAAGACAACGCCGTAATATTACTAAAGACCATAATACATACAGCAATAACAGCAACGCAATACACAAACACATAACAAAATTAATCAATCTGCACTTCCTGCAGATATCAAAAATATAATATGCGTCAATAACAGGACCAGAAGACTATGGAACCAAACCAAAAACTCACATATAAAATTAGAACTAAATATATTAACTAATATAGTTAAGAAATCAATAAAAAATCATAAAAATATCAAATTCCAGAACACGATACAATATTTAACAGCACAAAACAACTCTATTTGGAAATTTAGCAAAAAAATACTAAAAAAAGAAAACAATAATTCCACCCATCAACAAAGGCAAGGTATTCACCCCTACCGACAAGGCAGAGGAAATAGCCAATTACTTTGAGTCGACTTTCACACTAAACCAATCTAAACCGCACCCGGATCACAACACACTAATACAGTCAATAAATCTCCCAAACTACGGCCCATATCACAAAACACGGTACTATTACAATGTACTATGTACTATTTCTAGTACTTTCGTGGTATTCAGTAATTTTAATTCTGAGATTATCGAGTTATCTATAATACAAAATTTATAGATACTAATATAACACACTCACACCTGAAACACAAACTACCCGCGCTGACTAATGTGAGGTTGAACCAACTGTGTTTCATATACTGAACGATGCCCTAACTTTCAAAAAGAAAGAGAAATATAAAATACTGAAACGTCGCTATAGACCTTGCGTTGATGCGACTACAACAAATCAAATGTGTTAAGTTTTGTGAAATGCAAGAGGTATGTTTCTATTGAGTAACATTTACTCTCATGTAAATATTATTATTAAACCAGTTGCCGAGAATTTCTCTAGAAATAAATTAATATTAAAAACAAGTCATAAAAATACAAGATATTCTTATTTTTCTACTATGATTAACACACAACATTATAGTTGTTCTATCTCGTGAACAATCTCACGATCGAGTGCCATAAGGGCGTACACACTATTTCTGTGGTCATGGGGTAAAAGTTCTAGGGGTGAAGAGGTGAACAGAAGAATATTTAGAGGAGCACATACACACGGCATTTCAAAAAAAGAGCACACAATAGTTACCTTTTAAGACATTTCGAAAGCTTTTGACAAAGTGTGGTATCCTGGATTAATATTCAAACTTAAAGAAATAGGTACCCCTAACTATTTAATTAATACCATTAATAGCTTTCTCCAAGATAGAACATTTTCAGTCACAGTTAATAATCACACATCCAATCCCCGCAGAATTATAGCTGGATTACCTCAAGGCTCACCACTGTCCCCCACGCTTTTCAACATATACACAGCCGACATTCCCATAACATCACACACGCACATCGCCCAATTCGCCGATGACACCGCAATTTTCATGTCTAATGATTCAACTAATCAAATCTGTAAACAAATTCAAACACATTTAAATAAAATTGATGAATGGTCTGTCAAATGGAAAATCAAACTAAATCCTACAAAATCATGCGCCAAAATATTTTCATTAAGAACATTTTCAACCCAACACCACTCCGAATAAACAACAACCCAATTCCATGGATCTCACACAATGAATCTGTTAAATACCTAGGGCTGAATCTTGATACCAGAATAAATTGGAAAAATCACATAACAGTAAAAGCACAGCAAGCCAAAATAAAATTAATTCAACTAAAGCCACTCTTAAAACGCAATAGTAAGCTCTCATTAAACAATGCCATCACCATCTATAAATCAATAATTAGACCCCTAATGCTTTATGCATGCCCTATCTGGATCAATGCCTCAAAAACTAATATTAATCAATTACAGATCATCCAAAATAATTTCCTCAGACTTGCCACTCATACACCCTGGTTCATCTCAAACATTCAACTGCATAAATAATTTAATTTACGTTCTATACTCTACCATATCGCGCTCCTATCTAACAATTTCTTCTCCAAAATAAACACAATAACTCAAGCCACCCACTACGGCCTAGCCACCACCTACCAGCTCCCAACAAGAATAAAAAATAGATATCCATTAGATTCATTCCTCAGCATATTTTCAGAAGTCAGTTAATCACATAGGTGCTCTGTGAGTTTCCTATTCATGTGTAGTTAGATTTAGTTGTAAGATTAGCATTTGAGTTAAATATAAGTCATAAAAAATACATATGATGTAGTATAAATAACACTGAACTATGTATATTCGTTCACTAATAAAGATATATTATTATTATTAGAAGAATACTTAATTTCTTTCATATAACTTAAAAAGAGCTTAGAGAGGATACAAAATAGCGGCAAATACACATTTCGGAGGAAGACACATGCGAATCATTGGAACACAGAAGAAAAAGGACTCGACTTTTGCGCACTGTATAAATCTTGCAGTGGTTGCTCTGCGCGGTAGGAAATTCGGGGAAGGCTAAATAAACCATAATATTTAAATAGATTTGATAATAAATATAAAATTAAAACAAGAATACAAAAAAGGACGTAGACAAATTATTTTTGTAAGCAGAACAATAGTAGATTGGAATGATTTTCCTGGGGCCGTTTCCTTGCTCAGCGCGATGTTTTAGGAAAAAATATTTGAAATTAGTCAATAGGGGGAAAACCTGTAGTAAAGTGAAGTAAAAGATGCGATTATTAGATAGTCTACAGTTTACACGTATTAAGCAGTTAATATTTAGTTAAAGTGGTTTGTGGTGCGGTGTAGAGAAGTCAAGTGATTTCAATTTTTTCTGTTTGTTTTGCTAACATAACGCTAATATAAAATGTCATTGTTTTATGTATTTTGATTTATGTTAATGAGGGGTTCCTGTGTTGAAATGTAATTATTATTGTAAATATAGTATTATGATTTTATGCAAGTAAAAATGTTTATCCATATTTGTGTGAATATTCATATGAGTGAAAAGGTGGACTCTTGTATATATGAGAGGCTTCATAGGTCTCTGTAGATTTGTACGCGTTTATGTATGTATGAAGTGTATGTCTGTATGTATCATGTGTGTGTATGTATGTATGTATGTATATTAATGTAGTATATTAGTTCTCTAAACGTTAGTATATATGGATTTGTATTTGTATTATATGTATGTAAATTTTATCTCCACGTGCTACATAGTGGCAAAAATAATTTATTGTTTTATATTTTATATATATATATATATATATATATATATATATATATATTTGTTCAACATATGACCAGGTGTAGAATAAAGCTTCTATATATATTTCAAGCAATGTCTGTCGACGTACTAAATAAGTTAAAAACGATTTCGTATTTTTACATTTCGATTTAAAGATACCAGATCTCAGTATTTTAAGAATGTAAGTTAATTTGAAATAATGTTTAGTAACACAAACATTATTCGGACCTAATACACCCACACATTTTACCGAACTGCTACGAAACACACAAACGTTTGCGAATATCTCGAATGCTTTAGTGTTCAATCAGGGGGCCCCAAGATGTGAGGTTGAATGAACTGCCACTCTGGTTGCATGGGCTAAAGAAATGCAGATTTTACTAGGTTCAAAAACTTTCCCGTCACACTTATTCATTGCAAGCCACAACTTTACAGAAAAGATTTCAGGTTTCGGAAAGGGCCTTTGACACATGAAAACAAAGCGATCTCTAATCTCCTCAACATCTGAGTTTCTTAATGGGATAAAACCAGAACACCGGAGGTGGGACATTCAAGTCACGCTGACTGGTATACTGCGGCCAACCATGGTTTTCTGCCTCAAGGACTCAGGATGTTCGTGAGCTTGGTGCTCGGAGTGGGAGAGATACACAGGTCAATTCACGACAGACAAACTAACGCTGCGTCAAGGCCATAGAGAAATGTGTGACGTCAGACTCCCACCAAGCGGCAGGCAAAGCTTGCGACCATATAAAATGCTCCGCTGAGTCTGAACTCTCAGTCACCGCTGCGACTGACAATCGCTATTCTACATCACTCCAAGGGATCCATGTTCACCACGTGCATAACAGCGTAACATACGTAAGTGTCAATTATCTTCATCTTCGTCGCAACATTCTGCATCTTCTCTGTTGTTATGTTTTCGGTAAACATATGTACACAAAAACATGAAACCATTCTTTATCTTTCAGTACGTTGGTTTGTGTAAATATCTGGTGTCAGTCTGAATGATAAGATAACAGAAACAGGCGTGCGTTTGAAGTGCCCGGCAATTCTTAAAATATTTGCACGTTAAAATATTTACACGTGACCATCTCGGATTGCACGGAATCACTGATTAGAGAGCCAAGGATTACCGCTACTCTACTGTACTTTTGCTTTAGGTTATGGAAATAAAAAAATCTCAAAACACGCCCGTTATTTCCCCCACGGATAGAAAAAGGGAGCTTAATATTTTCCCTCAGCTCTCATTTCTGTTAAAAGCTCTTAATTTTCGGAAATTACAAATTTAGAAATAATTTGAGAAAGTGTGTACTACAGTAGCACCACTAGCTTCGAGAGGTTTTGTGTTAATCGTTTCAGGATGATCGAGACTCTGACAACAGCGCTCTCGCGCACCTCTACTGGCGACTGGCTGCTGCTGGCGGCTGGATTCCTGCTCGTCTTCTACATCGCGGGCACCTGGAACTACGATTACTTCCAGCGGAGAGGGATACCCTCTACGAAGCCCAGGTTTCCCTTTTTTGGAGATTTCGTGGCGGTGATGACTGGGTTTCGTGCCTTCACGGACGCTATTCAAGACTTCTACGACAAGGGCAAAGGGCACGGAGTGTTCGGAGTGTTCGAGATAACCCGACCCATCCTGTGGATTCGCGATCCAGAGTTGCTGAAAGTGGTCGGAGTGAAAGAGTTCGACAACTTTATGAATCACCGAAGTTTCGCTAGCGAGAAGACAGATCCGATCTTTGGGAAGAACCTCTTCAATCTGAAAGGTGTGTTTCTGTAAAGTTTTCCCATTTATCGTTCGTTCTGAATAAGAACGTTAATGTTTAGGGTCAATAAAATCAAAACTAAACCGGTAAGCTCAAACCCCTCCCCACTATTCCGAAGTACCCGAAACCATTTCTACCTTGGTGTTCCACGATTAATTCATACTTCCAACCTTCGTCTACTTTTATGTAGGTGAATCCAGTTACTTTGCACACTTATCCTTCACGATGAGTCGGGAGACGTATATGCCCAGCTTTCGATCCATCTTTTTTGGGAGGTTCCTCAATTATGCTTACATAAGTGTCTTGAATCTTTTGCTGTTTTAATCTGCCCTAGAAACCTGTTCATCCGAGCCTTTCCTTCTTGTCCCTGTGAATTTAATTATATCCATCACTCCACACTTATTCCCTATTGATTATTTATTTTATGAAATCTTGATTTTTCCTGATGTTGCCATTCGAGTAGTCATCTATGAAGTTCTTATTAAAGTTATATTTATTCTATTACTGGCCCGCATTTCTGCTCCGTGAGTCATTCCAACATTATATTCACACTCCCAACCATTATTCTAATTTTCTGTAAACAGTATTACTTCTTTTTCATCTTCTTCTCCCTTGCATCGGTTTATTTACAATACTTTTTTTTTCCAGATCAAACTTGGCGAGACATGCGCGCAACACTCAGTCCGGCCTTCACCACCAGTAAAATCAAGGCAATGCTACCGCTTATGTCCCAATGCGCTGATCAGTTCTCGCAGTACTTGCGAGAGAAGTACGTCAGCAGCAAGGAAGGTGGGTCATCAAAAAAATTGTAATATGTATTTGAATTAAAGTTGAAAGTTTTTTATTAATATGAAATTAATGTGCATTTTTCTTAAGGATCAATGACCAAACCACTAGTGTTTGACTTGAAAGATCTCTTCACACGGTTAACGAATGATATTATTGCTACTACGGCATTTGGCGTTAGCTGTGACTCTCTGAAGAACCCGAACAACGAGTTCTACACCAGAGGAAAGACGTTGACCACATTCAGCAAATTTCGGAGTTTTGTATTATTTGCATTCCTCGCAATTCCCAAACTAATGGAGGTACGTAAAAGTTTATTTTCCATTGTTTCCCAAATTTCATTTATTTCGACTTACTTTGTAAGAAAAGCGAGAATTGTCATCGTCGCCGGTTTCTGTCACAAAATCACGTAAAACAAATTCCTCTAACACGTTGTGTAGTCAGAATCCATATTTTGTGCACTGCACAACGTTTATCTGTGGTCAACGCTAGAGCCTAAACGGTTCAGACGGACGGACAGACGAATGTTTTGCCGTCAATCAATTTATAGGCATCAAGGATTTACAAAACATGGTTTTTAGTTTGCAGGGTGCGACAATAAGAGTTTTTCTGCCAAACCTCAGACGTTTTCCGTCGCATGATTACAATACATTTTCTTGTAATGATGTACGAGCAAGTTTGTAAGAGCGAGAAAAAATAACTCAGATCTTTCAAAAATTTCTTGTTCACATTTGGAAAAAAAGAGACTAGTCTTCGAATAATTTCTGTTTGAATTTAATGCACGTGATAAATATTTTACTCAAAAACTGCTATAATGTTTCAATTAAAATGTTTTCTATCGATAGAATAAGGCAGCTTAAAAGAATGGTGCAGACCGTATTTTCGTTGAACACACTCAATTTTTGATAATTGCAAAAGTTAGAAATAATGCGAGAAAATGTGTGCTGTTGTAGCAGCACTAGTTTATTATTATTTCACCTTTTTATGTCAAATATTATTACGCCAGCTCTTTAAAGCACTTATCCTTATTTTCTAAGTTACAATTGCTTAAACAGTATATACTTGAAGAAACTGAAATGCTTACCAGTGGCGCTAAAACACTATATACTCTTTCTCATTTTTCTAATGTATGGACAATTCGAAAATTCAAAAAGTTCAACGGAATTGAGACCTGCGCCATTTTTTACGTGTTCCTTATTGTATCTATGGAAATATTTAAATAAGAAATTTGGAGCGATAATTATTAATTTTTAAACAGAATTTAAAGGCAAAAATCTCCAACCTAAGGGTGGTAGTTATGAAGTGTCAACATTGTGCAATTTTAAAAATTACAGCGAGTTTGTCAGAAATGAGGTATCTCCACGTATTTTCCACTCTCTGTTATACACGAGAAAAAAATTTATAGAAACAATTTTAAGCAATTTTTGGGAAAATAATTGTTTAATTATTTTTAAAAATTATATGTATTTCACACAACATTTCGCAAAAATTACTCATTTTCGAAAAATGTTACATGGCGTAATTTAAAATGTAACTCCGAGCAACATAAAAAGACATTATTACAAACACCATGAAGAATTAAAAAACTATATTCAATTGAACATAACAATGAAGAAATCATATTAAAGAATGATTCCAAAATTTTTTTTACTTTTCCAAACGCAGGAATTTCAAAAAAAATGCTACCTGCTTCATTCTTTTACGCATCCTTTACTCCCTTCAAGATAAAGTTCAATTTTAAAAATTGAAATCATTTTTAAAACAAATTTGAAAATGTTGAGAAAAATTGTCTTTAGGCGCTAGCTTTGACCGTAGACAGACAGAAAGGGAGACAAAAAAGACGGAGACGGACTGACTGCCGGGCTCTCGGACAGACACACACGGTTTGCTGTAAATATATTTTCGGGATGCTCACTACGGATTCTCACTACGGCACAAGTTAGAGAAAGTAATTTACTGTATATAGGACCTAATTTATTTCTCTTTTTCATTACCAAGGCCGACAAAAAAAGTTTTTCTGCCGATAATTCGCTGTTTTACGTACGATTACAGCTATATCTCTTCTTCTGAAGCGAGAGCAAAGAAGTAAAATACAAGAAAAAACTTGTTACATCCATTTTGGTTTGCAGAAAACCGGCTTTCGATTATTGGATGCAGAATCGACGAATTTCTTCAACTCGCTAATCCACGAAACTATCAAAGAGCGCCAGAAGCGGGGAATAATCAGGCCCGACGTACTGCAGCTGCTGATGCAGGCCAGACAGGGCCAACTGAAGGCGGAAAAGGAAGACTCCGCAGAAGCCGAGAACCTGGGAGTGAGCGGAAAAAGTAAGTCTACTCCGTCGTTATTACGTTCCGCAAAATGTACTCCTTACGTCATGCACGTTGTCACGCAAACTGTTTTTGTTCTCAACGCCACGCGAAAATTCTCTCAACGAAAATTGCAGCCTCCCCTCCTTCTGTGTGAAGGGAAACTGTGTTTGGAGAATGTATTTTCGTAGCATTGGAAGTACTGCAGTTTTTGATTTGTGATTCCGCACACTTATCCTTATCACAGAATGTGTACTCACAAGAGTCAAAGTTCGAAAAATATAATACAAAATCAAAAAAGGTCTCATTTCGTAATTCATATGAGTGGTAGGTATTGGGAACCCAATGTAGATTGTAGACAAATCAGTTTACCTCGTATGTTAAGAAACACGTTTTTAGGAAGGATTGATATTGTGTCTGCTAGGTATGGACATTTTCCAAGAAGTATTAATTTATATAAAGTAAAAATGCAATAGGACAAAATAGATCGATAGAAATAAAGTTCCGTTTGAAAACCTACATTAATATACATAAACATAAAGGGAATTTTGTCACCAATCCTTAAATTCTTTTTCTGTTTGGGCCAATTTTTAAGGTTGGATGGGTTTAAGAAACGCAAAATGTATCTGTTATCTAAACATTCAAAATTATTAGTATTATAAAGATTTATTTCTTTTTCCCTACATCGCGACAATATATCAAAGAGTGTAGTTCGTTCTGTGAAGAAAATTAAATATTTTAAAGAAAGTATCAAAACAAATCAAACTCAGAAGAGCAAAGTTGTTTTGGACCAGGATTATCGTGTATTGACAATATTTTCTGTCTCAAACAACTGATGGAAAAAAAATTGAGCGAGGAAGAGAACTTCACATAATTTTCATTGACCTCAAAAAGGCTTAAGATAATGTACCAGTAAAAGAAGTATGGGGGGCAATGGAAGAAAAAGAAATATCAACAACATACGTAAATACAGTCAAACAACTTTATAAAAATAACAAAAGTCAAGTAAAAGTGGGAAAATGTTCATCAGACAACTTCCCAGTAAATAAAGGATTACGGCAAGGCTGCTGTATATCTTCAAGCCTTTTTAAGATATACATTGATAAAGCCCTAAAAGAATGGAAAAGAAAGTGCAGAAGCATGGGTGTTAATATTGGTGATGAAACATTGTTTAGTCTACTATTTTCAGATGACCAGGTGATAATGGCTGAAGATGAAGACGATGTAACTTATATGTTCAGAAAATTAGTAGAAGAATATGGAAAATGGGGGATGGAAATAAATTTACAAAAAACTGAATATATGGTGGTGGGAGGTATTCCCCATGATTTAGAGACTAGTATAGGAATAAGTAAAGGTAAAACACAATATAAGTATTAGGGAGTCACACTAACAGCAGATGGTAGTGACGAGCAGGATGTGAAAAATAAAAATATAAGAGGAATAATAGTCACAAGACAGTTGAACCCAGTGCTATGAAACTCAATTATTTCAATGAAAACAAAGAAACGCATATATAGCTCGTTCATAGAGAGTACCATTCTCTATGAGGCAGAAGTCTGGACACTATCAAACAAATTGAAAGACAAATTTCAATCAACAGAAATGCTGTTCTGGTGAAGATGTTGTAAACTTTCTCTGTTAGATAAAATAAGAAATGATGAAATAAGAAATAAAATTAAAGTGCAAACAACCTTGAACGATACGATCGAAATGAGACATTTAGAATGGTATGGATGTATGAGAAGGTTCAAATCGGATAGACGTCCTCAAAAAAAGTTTGGGAGTGGATACCAAATTGAAGAAGATACAGGGGAAGACCGAGAAGAACATGCAACATGGCAATAACTGAAGCCATGGAAAAAAGAGAAATGGAAGAAAACGATGTATGGGATAAACAGACATGGAAATTGGGATGCGGAAAACGGCGAAGGCTGTAAAAAAACGCTAAGATAGAGATCAAAACAAATTCGTCAATTAAAACGGCTTTTCATAAAATTCATCATTATAACTATTCATAAAAATCATCTTCGTAGATTAAAATTAACTGGTCTTCCGAACTACGTATTAAAAAGAAAACAATTTTGCGAAGACGATAATTAATATTAGTATTATTATTATTATTATTATTATTGTTATTAACAATAATAATGAATATATTATTGGGAAAATTGTGATGTAATATTTTGTTGGGTAATATTTTGTTCATATCTTTGCATTGCATATTTTTCTTAATTTTAAGACTTATTTCTTTTTCTCTACATCCTGAAACGATATCAAAGGAAATTCCGTAATTGATAAGAAATACGTAATTTTGTTTCAGTTCTATCAGATGATGACATTTCTGCACAAGCCATTGTTTTCTTCTTTGGTGGATTTGAAACTGTTGCGACGGCCTTGTGCTTTACGACGGTTATTCTGTCTCATCATCCCGAAATCCAGAAGAAACTCCGGGTAGAGATAGACGAAGTCATGGAAACAACTGGTGGCACTCCTACTTACGAAGCCATTCAGGGCATGAAATATCTTGACGCTGTCATTAGTGGTAAGAGTAAGGCGCTTACCACATTACACATGACAAAGCAATGTGAAATTCCCATGTAATGAAATAGATGATATGAAACATCGGGCATACTATAACGCTTAGCATCTAATATCGCAGAGCTTTATGTATTTAAATATTATGTGTAGGTGTTTATTATAAATATCATATAATATATTATATAATATTTAAATTTTATATCAAATCATATTTTTTAATTTTTTTAAAATACTTTTCACAATTGTATTTAAAATATCCATAAATTGGTGATAATGAAATAAGAACTTAATCTATATGAGAGTATTGCACATTATCAACGGTTCTTTTCAAATTCATCTTAAAACAATACCTCACAAATTCAAAACTATGCTCTGGCATATTTTATTTTGGATGAAAAAATGGGAAAAGTCTAATGTGAACACGTAATATTCTACACTATAAACTGCGCTTATGTGAGAACAAATGCATTTTTCAGAGGTTTTGAGGCTGTATCCCCCTGCACCATCTACAGACCGTATCTGTGTGAAAGATACACTTTTACCTGCCGGCGAAAATTCGAACGCCATCATCATTCCCAAAGGAACTATCGTGCAGGCTCCTATCGTCGGTTTACATACTGATCCGCAGTACTGGGACGAACCACTCAAGTTCGACCCAGAACGATTCAGCGACGAGAACAAACACAAGATCAAACCCTTCACTTACATGCCGTTCGGCATGGGGCCCAGGATCTGCATAGGTAAATATTTATCATGAGCCATTTAGAACTCTGATACATATGAGATCAGCTTAAGTCCTCTAGACTTCTATAAGAAATAATTAAACGGAATTACTCTTGAATTTCTGCCAAAACTTGCATCAAGTCTATTTTACATGGTCAGTTTTTTCATCAGTACAGAAAAGTGATGGACCTGACTGGACGTAAATTGTACTAAAAAAATACACGTAATTCGTTTTTCAGTGCAAATTCAGTGCATGGCTTCCATTTCACTACCCATCTCCTGGCATTTCTTTTTCGAACTTTCCGTGTTTTTAAATTTCTCGTATGCGAAGTATTATACGTAGTATAGAGATGGTTATGCAATGCTGCGGCAAAAACAGTATTTTTCATAGAAAAACTCGTATTTAGATGCCTGATACAAAAAAAAAGTGGATAAATTCGGTTCGAATATGTAGTAAATTTACTTATTCTAACACGTTATATAGTCAGATTTTTCAAATAGTGCATCCTTTTTAACAAAAAAGTGTTATATTTGGAACATCTGAACTTCTGTTCGTCAGCTTGTGAACACCACTCGTTCCTAAACTATTCGTAGGATTTCTTTTTTCATATGAACATTGCGTAGTCGATAAGGCTCCGCTGGAAGCTCGGCGAGTTAAAGAATCATTTAAAAATTGTGAGTACTTTACATGAAACTCCTGAAACGTTTTTAAAAAAATCTGAAATGGCTCCAATTTTTTTTCTTCAAATTTTTAATTGAAATCAGAATTTTTTCTCAATACATAGTTCTTTCATTAATTTCATGTATTTTTTAAAACTTTTATAAGTTTTTGGGCAATTTTGAATGAAATGTGGCAAATTAAAAATATTAAAAACAAGAACTTTTCAAAAATGGCTCCAAATTTTTTATTTAAACATGTGGTAGGAACAACATTAAATGTCCTATCCTTTGCAGTATATGTAATGAAAAGATGACATACACGCCATTTTACTGTATTCTTTAATATTTTTCTTCAAAAATTACTCAAATATAATTTTTTGACATCTCTAGCATGTCGTTAATATTTTTCTTAACGGGCATTTATAAATATTTTTGCCTTTATGAGTACGTGTGCTTAAATTGTGTCTGATAAAGTTACGGAAACAGTTTTGTGTTAAACTCGAAATTCCGCATTTTCAGAATCACTCAGACGCAATTTTTTTTCAAACTTTTTGTACGGTTAGAGACATTGAACTGTATGAGATGACTTAAAATCTATTTTGCTGTATTCTTTTATTTTTCCAAACATTAAACAAATGTATTTTTTTAAATATCTCTCACCCAGTTAATACGCACCTTTAGAGGGATTTTTATACATTAACGCACTTGTAAGAGTGTAAGTGCTTCAAATGACCCCCAATAAAGTTTTTCGAAAACTCAACAGTTATTTGTGAAAACGAGTTTAAAATGTCACATTTAAAGTGACGCTTAAAAATTGTATTACAACCTCTACAAATTTATTAAGTAAAATTTCCCTATAGGACGATATTTCGCTCTTCTATAATATTCTTAAACGAGAATTTCGGTCCTAGAATAAGAAAACCAAAAAAAACGAGAAAATTTTAAAAAATTTCTCTGGGGGGCGAAATATTCAAGCGGCAAAAGGGTAGGGCAAGACCGGAAAGCTAGCCAAAACAAACTTGTACGAGAAATTGCGTGTTTTCTGTAGCTTCACAAGTTTACACTTGTAGTGCGATTTGTAGAGTTTCAAGAGCCATTTCTTATGAGTTGAATTGCAATGTGAAGGGATTACCCGTATGTAATGAAAAATAAAATTTGTTTTGTGTTCTAATGTCTCGTTCCATGCTCAGTCCTAATATATCTTAACTATATTTGTTACCATAGACGCTAGTTCTTCTGGTACTGTTAGGGCACCAGCACTTTTTGCCGCGTGAACCAATATTTTCATCACGGTTTCGGGCAGAAAACTAAATGATAGTGTAAAACGCTCGTTCATCCAGTTTCGATACCAAAACAGTAGCACGTAGTTTTGATGCCGAACGATTTTCTGTACAGAAAAATGATGAAGAAATGACCCTGTAAAAGGGCTTCACAGAATAAAACTATGGTAAAACTTTCAGAAACGTTTTCGAAAGATGTATTTAACTCATCGTTTTCTTTGCAGTTTTTAGCAAATAAAACAATAGCTTTTATTTAATAAATCTAGAATCTACAATGTAGTATTTTCCTTCCTGAACTCAATAATTCTCCAAGAAAAGAAAATCACATTTCTCCGCTAGAATATCAATTCCACAAATTAATTTTTAAACAGAAATTTAAGAAAAAAGTGGAACACGAGACATTATGCGAGTAAGAAATGTTGCGACATGAAGCCACCAGACTGAGAGGCGCAAGCCTACGATAAAAATAATAGAACTTTCACCACGTGTGTGATATTAACATAACATAACATTTAGAACTTTTGAAATTTTTACACTGCCTTACTTTCATTTTATTTTAATTGATGAACAAATCACTTAATGACTCATTAAGGTAAGTTACAGCTGATGCGGTCAGACGAAATTGTTTTGGTTAAGTTGTTGCATTCACAGATTTATCTGAATATTTAAGCATCGTCCCACTTCTAGCACTATTGTTAAAATGGATCTTTGAGCCCGCTGTGCATGCCCTGAGAGAACAAGTTACAACTGGTAGTCTAAAAATCAATTTCTTAAAGAATCTTTTCGTTCAAATGAAAGATAAATAATGAAAAGTGAGGTTATTGGTCCGACACCTCGCTTCCAGGGCAGCGCTTCGCGCTGATCGAGGTGAAGATGGCGCTGGTGCACTTGCTGCACTCGTTCGCCCTGCACCCGAGCGCCAAGACCAAGTTCCCCATCGAGTACCAGACGGGCGTTAACCTGCTGGCGAAGGGCGGCTTCTGGTGCGGCCTCACCCCGCGGCGTGCCTGAGCAGCACCAGCGCGTCTCTCAGGCCACGGAGCAAACAACTCATTTCCAGGGGATACGCTTCTCGCTTCCAATTCACCTAGTTGGACTTAACCTATTGAATTCAAACTCAGGGGGCAAATACCTGAATCACTTATTCTTTTTAGATCTATATACTGGTTGTATTCTGTGAAATGCATATGAACGAAAATTACAAATGAGTTTTTTTTTGAAGTTGATATTCTTATTCTCCGGCACGATTGAAATGGCCAAACTACACTGCTCAATGGTTTCAACCGCTTTGCATCACATCAAATGTTCTCATTTCATCTCGTAGTATTGCAAATGAATGAAATGTGCCTAAAATGCATCAACTCATTAAAACGTTCTACTTAACTGTTCATTTACGTAACTGTTGTATATTGATGTATATATGTGAATATCAATACCTGAGCTCTTTCTATGTTGTAATTTATTTTTCATTAAATAAACGTGTGAGGCTATTTTTAATAACTTTTTTATTGCTGTATTTCAAGTGATCCAATTACCAGAAAATTTTACTTACACTAAAACTCTGTCTTTCTTTCTTGCTTGCTTTCTTGCTCGCTTTCTTGCATGCTTTTTTGCTTGTTTGCTTCGATTGATAGCAAGAAATGGAGCTGAATTTAAGGACATAATCTATTTTCTGAATAAAACTAAGCATTCTTAAATACTTTAAGAAAATTGATATATTTTATAGTTTCATGTTTATTACACAGGAAAGATAAACATAAAACTCACATGATTAATATTGGTTTAGACCAAAGTAACTAAAATCTTGTATATCTGCATGCATGGTTTGTTTGCAACATAATTTAATAAAGTTGTCAGTAATAACACAGCTTTTATATTAACTGACCTTCCATGTAATTATTTGTTTAGAAAGCTTTGACAATAGTTCAATTACGAGAATTTGATTTGAAGCTTCTTATAACACATTGACTCATATATTTTTACTGAGATATGTGTGTGGCAAAGATATGTTAATATATCGCCTCTGGATACTATGAAATTCCCCATGGTGGACCGAAATATAGTTGGATATTATTATTATTATTATTATTATTATTATTATTATTATTATTATTATTATTATTATTATTATTCAATATCACTTACATTTCACTAAGCTGTGCATGTACCGCAATCATTTGATCTAATAAACATTGACAATTAATTTAATGGAGCACCCACAATAAAAGTATAACTAGTGAAACATTTACTTAAAGAAAACTTTTTTGTTATACTCGTATTGAAATGCAACCAACTCATATTAATTGAAATTTCTAGTCCCTGTTCTGAAGAACCCGATTAGGCAACGCTATCCTTTGTAATTAAATAAGAATTTATCCCGGAGCACGTGACATTTCTGCTATCTTATTTTTTGACATATTCTATTCAGCAATCGTCTGGACTCTTTGTAATCATTCAGATACCTTCTGTAAATTACTTCGCTGTATTATACTGAAGATCAGTCCCGCTTCATCAACACCGCTTCGGGACATTTGTAGCAATAGAGCCATCACCATCGCTTTTTCGCACATGTATGTACTTCATGATAGTGCTCTTGTTACTAATTTAATTGAACGAACATTATTTAAGTTCGTTGTACAATTCAAGTCGTTAACAGAAGTAATTTGGTGTATATTAACGTCCAAAACGCTGAGGAAATTACAATATTTGTGAACGGAGAATTCACTCCACGTCCGTTCTCGGTAAAAAGAAATACCGTTGGTTGGCATTGGTTCAGATGGCACTGGGAGATTTAATTAGTGGTACTCAACTGAGTGCTAGGAAACTGTTTGAGGCCCTTTTCTAGAAGTGAATGTTCGTTTTTAGAGTGTGCTGTTGAAGAAAGGTTGATTACTTTAGGGTGGAGGACTGGATCACCATAAGGTGGACGAGGATGGTGGATAGGTGCTCCACTCAGTTCCACTCGTAGCACAAACTTAAAATACTATACATTCAGACGGACATGAAGATTTCCACCACAAACAACATGATGAAAGATATATACGATATTGCCAATGCCCTCTCCCACGAAAAAAACATTACTTTCCAAATCATAAACACACTCCAAGAAATTATTTCTTCAAAACAACTTTTGAAAAGAACCACAGAAAACCACCTCACAATCACAAAATGTGATACACGAATACGGTTGTCGACACTCTAGATTACAGTAGCAAAATAAATCAATTTTAATCAAAGAAAATAATGAGAAAAATCGTAAGTACCCCACCACTAAAAGTATTGTTAAGTTGAGAACTGAACTCAAAGTATCCCCACCCTATTCTCTAAATCCAGATATTTTACTCCCCACAATCCTGCCCCCTCGCCTCTATGGTCTCCCTATATTTCACAAAGAAAACATATTCATTGGGTCTGTTGTTTCCTATCGCAACACTATTACACACAAACTCTCTCACAGACTCGACAATTTCTTTCACGATTCCGTAAATTTCAAACCTCTCCATACCATCAAAAACCGTTTGGTGTGATTCGTTGTTAGTGATTCCGGGCGAATCAACCACTAGGGACATTAGTCCCGTAAGTGTAGTGCGTATATCTGCCAGATCCGGCGCCGACCTACCGTCGACTAGCGAGGTTTTCCCCAACCAGGTACCTCCCACCAGCGAGGCACCGCCTCAGCCCGGACAAGCCCTAAGCTCCCAATCGGTGTTCCGGCATGTGTGGTAGTGTAGTGTGTGTCAGTGTAGGTGTGAGTAAGGGGTGAGGATAGGATAAGTAAGAGGTACGAAAGATCACGCGCGGGCCGTGGCCCGTTTGATAGAGTGTAATGGTAAATGCACCTCAGTACAATAGTATGAAGTATTGCGTAAGAGAAGCAATGGATATTTTTATCAAACATGTACGCGAGAGAAATATCGCTTTTCAAAGTTATCTAAATTAGGGACGCGTCCGGAGCAGGCGCTCTGCTGTTAGCTTAAGATCATTTATGAGAGGGCTCCCAAAACAGCTGTCAACGCTAACATTTATTCATATTGTGAAAACGGGAATGTTTAAAAACTTGAGACAATGATTTCAAAAGGGCAAATGTTCTCAGACAGTAATGTCAGTTTATTGCGTTCAGGACATGTAGAGTTCGGGTGAGGGTTGCGAAATGTCTTCATAAATTTCCCTGTTTTCTATATAAGGATCCTCGAGCGTTGATAACGGGCAGACAGCCCAGAGACTTTGCTGTATCAACTTCACGCTGCTCTGCAGCTCTACGTTTTCAATTAAACTTTTCATACTTCATCGGACTTGGTCTCTGTACGTGAAACCTCGCTCACTACGTCGCTCCTCCAGGGAACGTAGCTTCCCTGCGAACTCAACATTTTTGCATCCTGTACTGGAAGCATATGTAATCGCCTGCAATCATGCTAGAAGTACAAAACATGCAGCGAAAGGAATTACAAGAGTACTGCTTCGGAATTCACTTGGTGTTAATCGGAGAAACCAATGAAAACTACCGATCAGAGCAATCGGCAGCTAGAATTCTTCTCCAGACAGCGACTGAATTCGATCTAGCTAACAAGCTGGTGTCGAAAATCCTGCCACCGTCGGGAGTCGGACCTAAGACATTTCGGTCAGAGGGACTGCAGTGACATCAGATGAAGCCTTGAGCCATCTCTACCGGTAAAATAGAGTTTGAAAGTTGTGATCAAACTTCAAGACCTTCACACACCGACCAACTTTAAACTGATTTTCTTTAATGTTACAAACGTATTCCTTACACCGCGTCTCAAAACTGTAAATTAAATTTACGAAACATCCTTAAGAAAGCTTCATGCTCCGTACTACTCGTAGGCACAGAACTACACAATTTGATCTCACTCTGCATTGACACCAACTCCCTCTCGTTCAATAACTCTCTCAAACAAAATTTGTTCTTCCGACGGGCTCACCACTATCCTCACTCATTGCAGACATATTGACGGATACTTGTGAAATGCACTTCTTTGACGCAAAACATCGTATTCCACAAAAACTAATGTACTAGTACCTCTTCGTCCATGAAATTGTAGCTCGATGTATTGGTGCAGAACAACTAAATCTCGTCATCGAGTTTCTTAACTCTGGACACCCATTCAACATATTCACTAAGGCATTTGAAAATGGAAACTAATCCATTAATTTCTTAGACCTAAACTTCTCTATAGTAGGTAACAAACACATTTTCATTGTTTTCAGAAAATCCTCACACACAGACACTGCCATCTATAACACATCCAAACATCCATTTCCTCACAAACACGCTGCTTTCCAAGTCATGATTAACATACTTGTCAGTCTCCCCAAATATCAAGACGATTTTCGAAAACGGACACATACATATGTATTTTTGAGCAAAGTAGTGCTTTATAGGTTATCAATAACTGCCAACCTGCGCCCAAATTCTTATGAGTTTTGAATATAAATTCATAAAGTATCTTTTTACATTCAATAATTGAATTTAAAATATGCTTACTCCACGAAATTTTTGTGTCGAAATGCATTCTCAAGATGTTAGTGCAGGTAACATATCTTAGGTTTGGATACTTGTCTGTCCGGGGTGAGCCACGTCTCAGTCGATTGAGCTGACGTTTTGGCCATCGTGTATAGCCGTATCAGCAGTATAGCCTTTTAGGTATTTATAGAACGGTTAGTACACGCCGGTTATTAAACAATGCCTCTTGATTGCAGTATATCTCTGACGAAGGCCACAACACGATGGCCGAAACGTCAGCTCAATCGAGAGAGACGCGGCTTAACCCGGACAGCCAAGTACCCAATGTCTTCGGCCGCGAAAGCCTACGAACACATACCTTAGGTTTTCATTATCTAATTTGAGAAAATGTACGCTAACTTGCTTATGTTTGGAAAATAATATATACTCAGTTTTCAGGGCTGAGAACTGGGAGTCTGACTTGAGTAACCGCACATAAATATAATGTATTGTTTTTGGATACTTTCTTTACTTGACTCCATATTTCTTCCTTTGCATACAACTGTGATGGTGTTGGCGTGTTTTCTAGTTGTTACTGGAGGACAGATTTTTTTATCATGATCAATATTGTTATTAAAATCAGTGCG